AGCAAGGCAAAGGCACAGACCATCAAGGCCAAAAGCCCTAAACCCCCAAACTCTAAACCCTAAACCCCTAAACCCTAAACCCTAAAACCCCTAAACCCTAAACCCTAAACCCCCAAACCCTAAACCTTAAACCCTTCACCGTACCAAGGAGAGGATGGCCGGTCCCACTCGGAGAGAGCGGGTGCGGAAGAAGGCGTTGAGCCCTGGACGGCAAGATGTTTTTTTTGAAGCCCTTAGGGTTTAGGGTTTCGGGTTTAGGGTTTAGGGGTTTAGGGTTTCGGGTTTAGGGTTTAGGGTTTAGGGTTCAGGGTTTAGGGTTTAGGGTGAATCCCTAAACCCCAAGGGGGCGTGTGAGAGCTGTGAACGTCCGCTTATCGTAGGTCAAAAGCCCTTGCATTTAGACTTTGGCGTTTCAAACCCTAAACCCTAAACCCTAAACCCTAAACCCTAAACCCTAAACCCTAAACCGGGATTCGGGGCCTCAGCTTTTTTTGTCGGGGGCCAAAGGCCTGAAAGTGCAGGCCAGTGAGAAATTGGCATGTATTGCCTGTCTTATGCCGCATTCGACTTAGTAGAGGGGCTGGAAGGATTCCGGTCTGGGCTCAGTGTTTAGGGTTTAGGGTTTTGGGTTTAGGGTTTTGGGTTTAGGGTTTTGGGTTTAGGGTTTGTAAACCCTAAACGAGCAACTCAGAGTTTAGGGCTCAGGGTTTCGGGTTTAGGGTTCAGGGTTTCGGGTTTATTGTTTAGGAGTAGATCCCGGCTGGACCTTGTAAGCCAGTTGCATGGACGTTGCGATGCAGCCATTCTTAGCATCACGCGTCAGACAGGGCTCCGCCCCGGAAGCCTAGGGTTCAGGCTTTTGGGTTTCGGGCTTTTGGGCTTTAGGGTTTCGGGCTTTAGGGCTTTAGGGTTCAGGTTTAGGGTTTAGGGCTTTAGGATTTAGGGTTCAGGCTTCAGGGTTTCGGGCTTCACCCCAAGGCTTTTTGGGACCAAAGACCATATTATCTCAGGCTTTTGGGCTATTTTGAGCCTTGGGGGTAAACCCTAAAACCCTAAACCCTAAACCCTAAACCCTAAACCCTAAACCCCTGAACCCAAAACCCGCCCTAAACCAAAAGTCCTGACATGTGAACCCTGAACACCAACTCCTCCTTTGCAACCATCTGCATCCTTAGCCCAACACCCATTGCGAAAGATGGTTGATTTTCCAACAGCTGAAACAGTAGATCCGGTACGGTTTAGGGTTTAGGGTTTACGGTTTAGGGTTTAGGGTTTAGGGTTTAGTTAGCGAAATTGCAAATCCCCAAACGCTTCAAAACCCCTGAACCCTAAAGCCCACCCCCGTAAAGCTTGCCTTAAACTTAAAGCCGGCACCTTCTTTTGAATATTTCAAGCCCTAAACCCTAAACCCTAAATCCCTAAACCCAAAACCTTAGACCACTAAGGCCTAAGCCCCTAAACCCTAAAACCGAAACTCTAATGTAGGGGCCTAAATAATTACCTCTACCACTTTGGGGGTTCCTTAATATTAGTTCTAGTACAATGTGCCCCAGAAACCTATTCTAATCATTCAGGCCCCTACATTCCGCCCTAAACCCCTAAACCCTAAAACCGAAACCCTAAACCACTAAGCCCTAAGCCCCTGAACCCTAAAACCGAAACTCTAAACCACTAAGCCCTGAACCCCTAAACCCTAAAACCGAAACTCGAAAACTCTTGAGCGGCCCACGCCCAAGGAATCAGATACGCGCGTGGCTACGATGCTACAACTTCGAGGTCGGCCCAGGGGTTCAAAAAGAAGGTTTAGGGTTTAGGGTTTAGGGTTTAGGGGGTTCCTTTGAAGCGTCCTTGAATGTAAGGGTTTAGGGTTTAAGGTTTGGGGTTTTGGGGTAAGGGTTTGGCTTTTATAATTGTGTCATAAAGGTTGTATCATGCCTGGGTTAGTTTCTCTAGTAGTCTCCTCATGCCTGCTTCTTTTCGGGCCTCTACTGGCTGAGCATTCAGGACTGGCAAATGGCTGTGGGTTTCAACCCTACTAAGTATCACGGTTGAGGGTTTGGGGCAAATGCCTAGCCCCAATTTTTCAAAGGCAAAACCCTGATCAACCCGATAGCCCGAATCTCGAAACCCGAAGCCCTGGACCCTGAACCCTAAACCCTGAACACTACACCAAACTCTCTCACAGGCCATAAACAAAAACCCTAAACCCTAAACCCTAAACCCTAAACCCTAAACCCTAAACCCTAAACCATAAACCGTTTCAAACCTAAGCTATGATTCAAGGAGTGTGTTCGAATGGGCTCTCTGGGCTCAGCACTCTGTGCTTACCGCGAGTCGCGCATGCGTTCGCTGTCTGCCCACATGAGGGGGTTTCTTTAGGGTTTATAGGGGTTTAGGGATTTAGGGTTTAGGGGTTTAGGGGTTTAGGGTTTAGGGTTTAGGGTTTAGGGTTTAAGTTGCAGACGGAATGATGGCGCATGCACGCTCGGAATGGGTTGCGCAAAGGCCACTTTACTATATGCTCTCTGAGCAGAACAGGCATAGATCTTTTCAGGGAACACCGGAATCCTCAACCCTAAAACCTAGGACATTTTCAGGTGGGTAGTTACCGTGATAGGAGCCTTATATAAGGTCTATATACCTTATAGAAGGCTTATAGAAGCCCTATATACCCTGAACTCCCCACCTGTCGTTTCCCTTCATAAACCCCAGTAGCAGCACGGTTTAGGGTTTAGGGTTTAGACAAAGAGAGCGAACGGCCTTGGAAAGCATCAGGAGATGGACGTGAATGAGTTGCAGGTGCCCAGCAGCGGCTGTTTTCTGTTCAGGCGCCTTCTTCCGTGCTGAGGGTTTGGAGGGAGGGGAGCTTTTCATCCGAAATCCTCTTCACCCCGCTAGCTCGCTCAAGGTTTTGGGCTTAGGGTTTAGGTTTAGGGTTCAAGGTTTTGGGATTGAGGAGGGTTTAGTGTTTAGGGTTCAGGGTTTAGGGTTTAGGGTTCAGGGTTTAGGGTTTAATTCTGTCGCTCTTTTGTTTCAGTATCAAGCCAAGGGCTTGCTCCAAAGCTGTTTTCTTTATTTGGGGCACAACAAGCTTACAGAGTGAAGTAATTCCAAGACTGCAACGCACCTCGACCGAAAGCCCCCATCAAAGCAAAGATACAGAGCCCTTAAAGAACCGTTATCATTCCTGCTAACACCTTGGTCGAACCCTGCCACGAAGCCCTAAACCCTTTATCCTAAACCCAGTCCCACGACTCTAGACCCTAAGCCCTAAACCCTAAACCCTAGACCCTCAGCCCTAAGCCCTGAAACTCCGAAATCCAGTACTTGCTCCTGGGGGCGCTGGGAACTTCTCTGAAACCCCTAGGACCCCTACACAAATCTTTGTGGGGCTTAGGGTTCAGGGCGGTAAGCACCCTTTCGCAACAACTACAAGGTTTGTAGAAAAGCTCCAATAAACGCCACATATAATGCTGGGAACCCCAAACCGTAAAACCTTAATCCCTAAACCCTACACCCCCCAAAAATGCCCTTTTGAAAAATCAGGGCAGAGGCTATGTGCGCCATCCATGTCGCAGCCAAGCTTGGCCACGACGTGCCCTGCGAACAGTGGAGAGTAGCATTCTATCCGGGCTTTCTTTAGGCGTTATAACGTTTCTGCTACGGGTTATTTGCGTTAATTGAATACAGTATAAGGCATTGGGCTCAGAACTGGAACTTGAATTTGTTGTTTTGGGGTCGCGGGTTTAGGCTTCAGGATTATGGTTTAGGCTTTGCGGTTTGGTTGGGTGTTCGGGTCTAGGGCGTCCTAAGAAGGTTATGTGCCTGGACCCTTCCTCCCAGAAACAAACCCCAAAGCGGTACAAAGCCCAACACGCTGAGCCCCTAAAGCCTAAACCCGAAACCCTAAACCCTAAACCCTAAACCCTAAACTCCTAATCCCTAAGCCCCTTAAGCTCCTGCACCCAACGCCTTGATCCGCCAGATCCCGAAGCCTTAAATCCAAAACTCTTTGACCCTCGAGGGTTTTAGTTGTTGTGGTCTCCTAAACCGTAAACCCTAAACCCTAAGTTCTAGGGTTTAGGGTTTGGGGTTTCGGGTTTGGGGGCGGGGCAGGTTCAGGATTGAGTTTTGGGGTTTCAGGTTTAGGGGTTTAGGGGTTTAGGCTTTAGGGGTTTAGGGGTTTAGGGGTTTAGGGTTTAGGGTTTAGGGTTTAGGGTTCAGGGTTTAGGGTTTAGGGTTGGGCGAATCCAAGAGCTTAAAACGGGGCCATTGTGGAAGCAGCACAATTGTGCATTCATTCTATTTAGATATTAGAAAACCTGTAATTCACTAATCGAACAGACAAAAAGTTACAAAAGATATGATATAATTATAATTAAGTTAATAAGATAATAAGTTAATAATTAATAATAATTAATAAATCAATAATATTGTGAATATAATAATAATAACTTAACATACTAATACTAATTTTAATTTTTTAAATTACTTAAATTAAGTAAATTAAGTAATTAAATATTAATTTAATTAATTAAATATTAAGTTAATTAATTAAATAGATTTAATTTAAATAGTAAATATTAAATTAAATTAATTAATTAATTAGTTAATTAATTAATTGATTAATTAATCAATTAATTAATTGATTAGTTAATTAATTAATTAATTAATGAATTAATTAATTAATTATTTAACTAAGTACAGTATATTATTATTAATTTTATTATTATTCATTATTAATCAGTTTCAGTTAACTACTTTACTAAATTATTCATGTTTCTGTGGAATCACAGTTTAGTTGTTAATGCTAGTGCAGCGGCTGAGCATGGGAGATAAGGGAGGGGGGCAGGACAGGCATGACATGTGTCACAAGCGACCGTCCTGAGTGCTGACTTTGTGACTTTGGCTCGAAATCTGACAGCTGGCTCTGAGTATGCCGAGTGGGCGGGCAATCACGCTTCTGAGGACGTGACTTGTTGCTTCCGGCTGTCAGCCAAATGAATGTTGACGATGAACACCTGTCTGCCCTCGATGTGGTTGTGCAGAAGGTCCGCAAGTGCACAGACATGCCTGCGTACAGAGGGTATCAGTCGACGAAGTTTGCCCGAGCAGCACGAGCTCTCAAGAAAGCAAGCGAGCACAGGCACCAAGTGACTTGCAGGGTGATGGCCCTGATTCACCGGTACAATGATCGTTATGCGAAAACACATGAAGATGTGATCAACTTAGAAGAAAAGAAGAGACCGAAGAAGGCAGGCCGTGGGAGTTACAAAAAGTGGTTGCCAACCGCTTTGTTGCGGGTTTGTTGGGGCTCCAAACCAGATCCTCGGAAAAGGGTCGCAAAGAATATGGCAAGAAGACTTAGAAAGAAAACCAAGCCTTCGGCTGCCAGCCAGAAGCGCGCAGCTCCGTCTGCGTCGTCAATCCGTGAATGCGCCCGGCAACACGATGCCAGCACGACTCATGTAGCACGGGTGCGACAAGCTATGTCTGAAGTGTTCATGCGCGTGCAAACGCAGCAGCTGAACATGCTGCCGCGTGTGGCAGAACAGTGGATCGAAATTGCGCTCGATGAGACGCAGGAGCCTGTCACTATGGAGACCACTGGCCAAAGTGCGCAGGTGATGGTCATACATGTGAAGCTGCATCGGCTGTCAGCCTGGGGACAGCAAGTGCAAAGCTTCAGCGTCGTGCTTCCTACCGTCGTGCTGCCTGGAACGACCACAGACGACATCCTCGGTGGTTTGATGGAGCGGCTACCTGTCAGCTTGGAACAGTTGAACACCCTTGCTGAAAGAACGACCTTCTTCCTGAACACAGACAGTTTTGGGAGCTGCCTGAAGTTGACGAAGTGCCTCGCAACGAAGTTTGCATGTTTCAGCTGCCCGTGTCGCATGCACCAGCTTTGCATAGCAATGACGTCCGCCATCGCTTTGTCCGGCATCATGTCATCGCTCTACTGTGGGTCCTTGCTTCTGCGCAGAGCAAAATTTCAAAAATCACTGCGTGCCAGGTTGGAGCACTATCTTCGTGATAAACTCGTCATTACATATGATGCCCCGACTAGTTCGGCTGTCAGCCATGCCAATGCAGTATGGAATTTGGCATGGCCCTTGGTGCAAGCTGGTCACAGCACAGACACCCGTTTGACCACTCCAAAAGCCCAAGCATGGAGGAGGCTGCGGAAGAATCTTTGCGGGCCGCTGAACGACCACACCCGCGTGATCCACTACTGCCCTTACGGATGTCATGACTCCCGCAGCGACGTGGTCGATGAGGTTTTCAAAGATCTGTGCACGCTTTTCTTGGACTCTCCACCAATGGTTCCAGTTTGGAACAAGTGGACCAAGGTGGTTCCTCCTTTGATGTGGTTTGCACCTTTCATGCTGGTGCACGGCCTCCTTTCCCATATTGTGAAGCCCCTTCTTGAGGCATTGGAGGTGACGCAGGTTCAGACTGAAGCTGTGGCCGAGACGGCTGTGACGGCAATGTCTCTCATTGAGTCGGAACTGGAGAGGATCGCTGCACCAGAGCAAGAAAGCGAGGCGTTCAGAAAAGAAGAATTTGCGAGGGTGCGGAAATTTGCGAAGTTCGCAACTTGCAAAGGCATGAAGGAAAAACTGACAGCAACGTTGTTGTCTCTACAGCCTGCTTTGAAAATCATGGGGTCCTTCTTCACCGCCGCTGATGCAACTTCATGTCCGGATTTGCGCCGGACGTCCACTGTGTTGGTCCTGTCCCAGCCTTCCCAGTCGCCTGCTGTCAGCACGGTCAAGGTTTTGCTGAATGCGCTATCGTCCGAAGATGCCTGTCACTGGCAAGCCTTGCACGAGCCTGATGCTGCTTGGGATTGCCACAGTTACACATGCGCAGCCGTTCCAACTTGGTTGGAAGTTGGACAGCTGTATGGCAGGCTGGTGCTGCCCTTCAGTGTTTGGCCGTTCAAAGCAGCCCTGATGATGGAGGATGGCGTTTCCCGTGAGACTCAAGAGATGCTGGCCACAGAACTGTTTCTTGAAGCACTTATTTCGCGCAACAGACAGTTGTGTTCGTAATCGTCGTAGTCGAGTCGTCTATAGCACAGCAGGAGCTGTTAGCTAGCAGTAGTGTGTAGTCGAAGTTGTTAAAGTCGTATAATTCGCAGTCGTAGGCGGTAGTCTTCGTCGAGCCACAGTCGTAGCTAAGTCGTAGTAGTTCAGCAAGTATAGTTTAGAGAGTCTAGAGTTTAGGCTGTTTAGGTTTAGACTCTTGGATGTCTTACACTTTTAAACTAATAGAGTTTAGGGGTTTCGAGCTTTGGGCTTTAGGGTTTAGTCGTTTTAGTTTGGTTAAGTTAAGTCACACGTCAGTTGAGTTATGGTCACGGTTTGACTAGTAGCTACAAGTCTACATGTTAGTTAGTAGTAGTTTCATATCGTTGTCAGTCATTAATTAATTATAGACTAGATATAGATTATAGACTATAGACTATAGATAGACATTATAGACTATAGACTTATAGACTATAGACTATAGCCTATAGGCCTATAGAGTCATTATCGAATCAAATCATAAGATCATAAGGATCATAGTCAGAGTCATCATTGAATCATCATCATAATTCATAATTTCATAATTCGAATTTTGAACCATAATATAATAATTAATAATTTAACAATAATGAATCATCAGAAGCTCGTAATTCATAATTCATATTCATAATTTCATAATTTCATAATTCATAAGAATCATAAGGTTCACAAGTTTCATAAGCTTCCTGAGTTAGTTAAGTTCGTTAGTCAATCAAACAAAGTAGCTAGTTAGTTTTATGATCCTTATTCATTGATTCATTGATTCTTATTCTTAGTAGTATTCCACACACATTTTTCTCAGGTTGAGGCTTTGTTCTCACCGAGATCCCTTCCTGCAGTTCCTCAAGGGAGATTTGCAAACGGAGACAGATGTCCTGGACCCTGCCAACCTTCAACGAATTCAGCAGCTGTTGGACCTTGCGCCAGTAACTAACGTGGTGTCAGAGAAAAGCTTTGCCGCGTCACATGTTCGTCGAATGACGGACCATGGCCAGAGTCCGAAACTGCCAACGTTGGCTGCCCAACATGTTCTAGCCGAGAGCAAATCCATTTTGGATTGCCAAAGCAGGCAGAAAGCAGCCATGCTGCTTGCGCACGGTTCGGCTGTCAGCCAAGGCACTTCGCGCGTTTTGGCGCCAGGTTCGGCTGTCAGCCAGAGCCCTCTGCAAACATCGGCTGTCAGCCAGAATCCTGACAAGAACCATGTTTGGCGACATTATATGCGAAGGCACATGCAAGCGGGCAAAACCATGAAGCAGGTCGCTCAACAATGGCAGCAGGAGAGCGACGAAGCCAAGGCACTCCTGGCGGCGGAAGTCGCGCGTGCTCCAAGACCGCCTGCCTCTCCCCAGCTGGCAGTCCCTGTTACCGCACCTGCTGCTCCAGCAACCGTATCGGTATGGCCGCATTGCGGAGATGATTTCTACCCGTTGCGTGCAGACTGCTTGGAATCTATGGTTGATGCGGTTCGTCCACTGGCAGAGAGCTGGGTGCGGCGAGTGGGCGAGAGGGAGTGCAAGCCAATGACAGCCACAGTTTCGGATTGCGGCCCTTTGTGTCGTACCACCAAGTGTGTTCGGACTTTGCAAGACTGGCAGTCCAGTGTGCTCGAGCATGTGCGTGTGAAGTTGAACAGGTTTGCTGCCTTCTGCAAGGCAAAGCCTCCAAATCTTGGAGACATGTGGCCTGCGTTGCCGGCATTGCACATCCATATAGAAGCGTCGTCTGGCAGCAGCGCTGATCGACCCAAGGGGTTGACCTTGCTGCAGCTGTCTCCGCTGCATGATGCACAAGTTTACTGCTTGGCGAAACCGTCCGCAGCACCATTGCCAGCTGAAGGTGTTGTGCTACAGTTTGAGCCGCAGATTGACAATCTGCGTGGAGCGACAGAGGTGATGGAACTTTGTTTGACGATGCTGCCCTCGCAGCCGCTGCTTTCTGGGGCGCCAATGCCAAAAGAATCCTTGCAATTCCAGTGCTTGCGCTGCAAGCACACAAGTTTGACATCCATGAAGGTTCAGGTCGTGGAAGATATGGCTGACATGGAGGCTGCGGCTGCCAGCAAAAGGAGAAAGGACAAAGAGGCTTCTGACATCTCAGCAACAGTGCAGCGGTTGGATGATGACTCATTGTTGAAGAAGCGCAGGAGGATGCGGTAGAAGCAACCAAGCAGAAAGGCAGCCGCTCGGCCTTCCGGCTGTCAGCCAGAACCACTGAGAGACGAGGAGGTTGAACGCGAGGAGGAGTTGCGCATGTGGGATGACGAGCTTGCAGCAGAAGCTGACCCCGTTGCAGGAGATCCTGTTCTAGCCTTGGAAGAGGAAATCGTGCGGTTGGGGTTCGCAGACGATGAGCTCGATGAAATGAGACAGGCAGAAAGAGAGGAAATAATCACGTCGCCGACGCAACCATCAACCATGCCCTCGTCACGGCCATCGACAAGCAATTCGGCTGGCAGCCACGGGCGGCCAGAGCAGCTTCAGAGCAAAGTCCGCGTCGACCCCGTAACTGGCAGGGTGTTCCGCACAGACCGTGAGCCAAATCAGTACATCGGTCGAATTTCAACAATAAAGCAAAACACACCGCAGGAGGCCTTCTCAGTGTATTGCGGTATGCATGGCTGCCAGCTGATGCGTCTTGCTTGCCGCTGTCCTTCGCGTGGTCAAATTCTCCAGTGGTTTGAGGATGGTTTAGAGCTGCCCAAGTCCAGGGAAGCGGCTGTACAGAGAAAGCACAAAAGCTCCTTCCCGGAGCCCGCAGGCCAGTGACAGCAGCAGAGCTGTCCTTCTCACGGTCAGTGCAGCATGCCTGGCTTTCTTTCACAACATGGTTGGGGACCTTGGGGCTCGCAACTTCTCGAAGCAGCCGCCCAACTGACCACAGCTTTACAGTATTGCAGAAGCGCTTCCAAAGTGTGGTAACTAATCAGTCATGAACCATGAAGCATCATAGACTCATAGAATCAGTAATCGAATCATACATTCATACATACATTACGTAACTACGTAATTAATAGTTCACAGTCCATAGTCCATAGTTGTCATTTGTCACAATTCATTGATTTAATGATTAATGATTGATTCATCTGATTGATTTAATGATTTAATTTAATGATTGATTTGATTTAATTTAGTTATTTAATGTTAAAGTATGTTATGTTCATATCATACCAAAATAAGTCTGTAGTCTATGAGTCATAGACATTGACATAGACATAGACGCCTGCTTCCAGAATGGCCCCGCTTTAAGCTCTTGGATTCGGCCGTGACATAGACATAGACATGACATGGACATAGACTCATAGACATGGACATGGAGTCACAGTCTCATAGTCTCATGAGTCACAGCCATAGTCTCGTCACCTCGTCTCTCGTCATAGAGTTATAGGAGTACTAAAACCTTAACGTCCACGCCCATGCCCCAATGCCTGTGTTTGACATTCGTTGGGCGACTGTTCAGTTGCGTATCGTATTGCTGAGACCGCTGAGACCGCTGAAACAATCACAGCCACTGCAAAGCTTGGGATATTTTGGTAAGCCCTTTACTCCATCAAGTGGGTTTTAAAGTGCCAAACTCCAGCCCCTAAGTGCCCTGCGCGCCGGGCAACTCGTACAAACCCCAAGCCCTGAGCCAACCAGGCCTGGAGCCCCGCACATTGGCCTCCAAACTTCAAGCTGGGCCGCGACGGTAAGCAGCTAAGCCATGGATAGTTGAGGATTCAACCACATAGCAGCACATAAGGTACTAAAGGGCGTCGAGGAGTATAGTACAGGAAGCTTACAATTTAGGGCAGGGCTTCAGGGTTTGCATTCCCCTGAATTGAAGGTCTGCTTAATTGAAGCCCACCATATCTTAGACACACCTTAGGGCCTTGAGCAAAGGGCCTTACACCCCAATGCGTAAAACCAGAGCGGCTAGCCTACAGACTGCTGCACACCAACATTCGGAAAACTTGTTTTGTGTTGTTGTCGTTGTTGCTGTTGCTGCTACTGCTGCTGCTGTTGCTGTGGCTGGTGCTACTGTTTACTTATGAAGTTGTGTCATGTAATTTTTTGCTGTTGTTGTTGTTGCTGTTGTTGTTGGCGTTCGTTTCGGCTGTCAGCCAGTCTGAGTTGCATGCAACTAGCTTCCGGCAGCCAGGTTCGAGTTATCAGCAGTGTGCAGATTCATTGCGACGCACTACATGCTGTAGACTGTATACTAAACCCTAAACCCTAAACCCTTAACCCTAAACCTTAAACCCCAAAACCCTAAACCCTAAACCCTACAAACTCCGTCTTGCATGGTGACAGGCCCCCGCAGATTGA